TTCTATATTGGTACATTTGATCGTGAAAGCAAAAGAATTGAATATGACGTTAGGGGGACGTATTATAAGGTAAAATCCACAATCCGTTAAAAAAACAAAAACAAATACCACTTATGGAATTTAGAGAAATCTGAAATTATGGAATATTTCTAAAATTTATTTTTTCGTTTTCAAAATAATTAAATGTGTTAACTAATCGAAATATTAAATTTTAAGTTTTAAAATAAATAAATCTATACTATATAAAAGTTGAAGCAGCTTCTAAGGCCGTCCACATAGGATTTTAAACGACAAAAAATTTGAAGCTATAAGCTTCTAAGGTCGTTCACATAGGATTTTAAACAAAAAAAATCAGGATTAGCTATCTCACTAATTAACATTTTTTTAAATTATATTTGTTTTCAATTGTAAATTGTTTTGCAAAAAGGAAAAAAAAGATGGGGGAATTTCAAAAATACCCCTTTTCCAATACCACTTTTTAAAAATACCCATCTTTCTAAATTTATCAAAAAATCATTATAAAATTTGAAATTTATCAAAAAGATATGTGTAAACTTATATTTATAGACACAAATTATTTTTATATGTGTGTAAATTTATATATATATATTTCATAAATACCATATAAATACCTTTTAAAAACCTTTTAAAAACCTTATAAATGCCGTTTAGAACCTTTTAAAACCTTATAAATATTTGGATTTAGTCTCCCAGTAGTAATGATGATCTTGATGTACCTTATCAACCATATAAAATTTAATAATTTTCATATTTGAAAAAGGGTATTTTTGAAAATGGAATGAAAATATGGGTATTTTTAAAAAGGGGTACACCAAAAGGGGTATTTCTCAAAAATTCTCAAAAAGATATATGGAAATAGTGTAACAATTCTAAAAGTTAGCCTAACAATTAACTATAAATATAGGGTCTCCACCACAACATTAGTATACAATATAGTTGAATTGATAGGCTTAAATTTGTAGCTCTAATTATTTAGTTTTTTTGTAATTTATTTTATGATAATATGATTTTCTTTTGTATTTGCTTTTTCAGAGATGCTTATCATTCACTAAGTTATGGTAGAAGCACCAGGTTTATAAAGACTGGTTTGAAAGGTCCATGCGCATTGCGCTTTGCCTTGATGAACGACGTTGTTTCGAGTAATTAATTTATTAATCGTCAACCATAAATAATTTTAACCACGCGTGGGTTCAAAACCTAGTCTATACTATATAAAAGTTGAGGTTATAAGCTTTTTAGAGCGTCCACATAGGATTTTAAACGACCAATCGCAATTGGCCAACTCACTATTTGACATTTTTGAAGTTACAATATTTTCTATATTTAGTTTTTTTTTTAATGTAAAAAGGAAAAAAAAGATTATGGAAAATAAAAGAATTATATGAAAATATGGAAGTATTTCTAAATTTTTAAAAAATTTCTAGAGATAATGTTAAATTTTCTAGAAATTATTATGCCAGTTTGTCCTATATATTTAGTTATAAATATAGAGCCTCGGCTACAACTTTTGATATCGAATTTTCACTAGGTTTATTAGTTAGTGTTGATACTACTATTTTAAATATATTTTTTGTTCTTTTATAATTGATTTTTGCATTATACCTTACGTTCTGTGAGTTCTTATTATTGCACTACTAATCAATATGAATATATATCTTTTTTTATTTATTGATTTTGCTTGTTTTGATTCATGTTTAGGTTTACAGATCATGTGACCTTTGATCCAAAACCATCGAGTGGGACAGCAAATGCGAGGAAGTTTTCAAATAGCTCAAAGACTACATCTCGTCTCCTTCGGTGCTCGCAAAACCTGACCAAGAGAGAGACTTTGTACTTATACATTGCAGTCTCGACTTCAGCAGTTAGTGGTGTCCACGTCAAGGAGGATCGTGGCGAACAGCACCCGATCTTCTATGTCAGCAAAACCCTCGACGGCGCCGAGCTTCGCTATCCCACTTTGGAAAAACTTGCGTATGCGGTTGTCATCTAAGCGCGAAAGCTCAGGCCGTATCGCACTCCGTGGAGGTTCTCACCAATCAACCACTGCGAATAATCTTCCACAGTCCAAGCCAGTCCGGCAGACTCGCAAAATGGGCCATCGAGCTCGGAGAGTACGATATCCAATACAAATATCGAACCTGTGCCAAGTCATGGGTCCTCGCCGATTTCCTCGTTGAGTTCTCGCCAGATCTCGAGCAAGGGGTCCCGCCTAACGAAAAATGGACGTTGTACGTAGATGGCACCGCCTCTAAACACGAATCGGGGATTGGAGTACACTTGCAGTCGCCTACGGGTGAAATACTGGAACAATCGTTCCGCCTCGCCTTTACCGCCTTGAACAATGAAGCAGAATACAAAGCGTTGATTGACGGGCTCCGGCTGGCACACGGCATTGGAGTAAAACAAATTCAGGCGTACTGCGACTCACAGCTCGTTGCGAATCAATTTAGTGGCGATTACGAGGCTAAGAATAATCGTATGGACGCATATCTCAAAGTCGTCCGAGATCTCTCAAAATTATTGGAGCAGTTCGACTTGACCAAGATCCCCCGAAGTGACAACGCGCCAGCTGACGCACTCGCAACACTCGCGTCCACCTCCAATCCGGATCTCCGTCGAGTCATACCTGTTAGTTGTCGATTCGACTTTGGCTTGCTCTCTTGGCGCGTCCACGTCGACCGGCTCCGTAACTGCCATTCCGAATAACGGTTCGAGCTCCTCGCAACCAATTGCTGAAGCAACTCCGAACAAAACTAATGTGAAAGCTAATACTCCATCGCTACCACCCGAATAAGTTCTAGTGGTCTCCGCGCCACTTAATGAGAACGCTCTATTGCCGCACAGTCCGCCCACTTCTTCGAACGATCCTTCGCCCAACGTAGAAGCTGCCATCGGCACTCCCGTAATCAGTCAACCCGCAGGCCGAAGCGATTGGCGCTCTGAAATAATTAACTATATCGTAGATGGCGTAATACCATCAGATAAGTGGGAAGTCCGGCGTCTACGCACGCGAAGCGCCCAATATACAATGTTGAAGGGAGACATCTTCCGTATCACTGCGTCTGACCTCCTCAACTGCGTAGGTCCCGACGAGGTCGACGACATTATACGAGAAGTCCACGAGGGCGGAAACAACTCTGGCGGACGAGCTCTTGGATTGCGAATCCGCAAAACCGGCCATTTCTGGTTAACAATGAATGCGGACTGCGACAAATTTGTAACAAAGTGCGAAAAATGCCAAAGGCACGCGCCTCTCATCCATGCTCCGATCGAGCTCCTTCGCACAGCCTCCCAGCCTTATCCTTTCATGCGTTGGGCAATGGATATCTTCGGTCCTTTACCCACCTCACGTCAAAAGAAGTACATCCTCATCATGACCGATTACTTCACAAAATGGGTTGAAGGCAAATCATACGCCAGAATTAAAGCAAAGGAAGTGCAGAATATCGTTTGGAAAAACATAATATGCCGCCATGGACTTCCATACGAAATTGTCACGGACAATGGAACTCAATTCACCTCGCTGCAGTTCGAAGGATTTTGTGCACGGTGGCAGATCTGTCTGAGCAAGTCCACTCCAAGATACCCCCAAGGTAATGGCCAGGCCGAGGCCACGAACAAAACGATTATCGACAGTATCAAGAAACGCCTTGAAGAGAAGAATGGCGTTTGGGCTGATGAGCTCGACGGTGTCCTGTGGTCGCACCGAACTTCACCGCGGCACCGAACTTCACCGCGAAGGTCTACGGGAAGAACGCCATTCTTACTTGCTTATGGCAAGGAAGCACTCGCCCCGGCCGAAGTGGGAATACCGACGCTCCGTCGCTCTATGCTCGTACACGACTCCGCGCTGAACAATTAATTGATACGAGACAGTCTCGACTGCCTCGAGGAAGAAAGGGACAAGGCAAGCCTCCGTATACAAAACTACCAACAGGCCGCGGCGAAATTCTACAACAAGAAGGTCAAGGCGCGCCACTTCGACGAAGGCGACTTGGTCCTCCGGAAGGTCTTCGAGAACACGGCCGAACTCAACGCCGGCAAACTCGGCGCGCACTGGGAAGGGCCTTACCTTATCTCCAAAGTCGTCCGACCTGGAGTTTAGGAACTCCTAATAATAGATGGCACGCCCGTTCCCCGGTCATGGAACTCCGGCAATCTCAAACGCTACTACTACTAAGCGCCACGGCCGCGCTACAAAAAAAAAAAACAAACGCTCGAACAACCGATCTCGCAATATGAACTACGAATGGCTTGATCCCTTCGCAAGGGTACGTAGGCAGCTTTTAACAAAGCACAACTCTAACTCAAAAAAAACAAAGAGCTCTTTCGGGTGAGTCTGCCTCAACCGATCGACAAGCTCAAACATCGTCTCCCTGGCCAGGAGCTCGATCACAAAACGTGTCCCACATGGATGCAGTGGTGAAATAATCCACATCTTTACTTCGGTAAAGATAAAGCCGAGCCCAGTCTCGCACTATAGCTAGCAGGTGGCAGGGCCAATAAGCCGAGCTCCGGCTCGCACGCTCTCGTCGACCTCAAAGCACCCACAGGATAAGCCGGTCGCACGCACCGCACCTAAACAGTACGACGAGTCCGCCTCGTCTGCTCCTTCAGCTTAGCGTTCCGAGGAGCACGTAACAGGATAAGCCGAGAGACGTCTCACCCCGCAAAATACATCACGGAACCAAGCGAAACTTCTAAGGTTTCTCTCGCCCAGTTATCCCTGCATAACCTGTTGCATCACAAGCAATTCTACGACAAGAATAGACAATCGAAAGTCCGCAAATCCAACATTCATCAAAGCAAATCCAACGTCATCAATGTTCAACTAAGGAAACAACAACACGAGTCAAGGTCCGTAAGATCCAACAGAGGATCACAAATACAAACGCCAATCTGACAAGCCACAAACGGCTAAAAGGCCGGACATAAAACATAAATCCGAAAGAAGCAACTACAATAGAACAACAACAGCCTCAATCCTGGGGACCTTCCGCATCTTCCGCAACTTCTGCACCCTCTGCATCATGTGCCCCATCTCTCGGTGCCACGTTCGAAGGACAAGCCATAAACTTTGGAAAAGGATCAAGATCGCTCTCGAGAATGTCCGGATACACTATCCCGTCAACCGTCGCCCACCACTGAACGTGGTCCTGTTCAACCTGAGCCAAGTTCCGCAAAGGAATGTGCGTACCATCCGTCACCATCTTCTTAAGGCACTTCTCCCTGCCCGAAACCTGACTAAGCATCAGAAGAGGCATCTTCTTCTCCCAGAGACCCATGATGTGTTTCCCCATCCCATCGATACGGGTATGGTACTCGTGAATCTCCCGCGCAACCTTATGACGCTCGGCCGCGGCACTCTCATCGCGGGCCTTCCTCAGCCTATCTGTCTCGGAAAGATACTGCTTCTTCTTATCTTTAAGCTGCCTCGTAAGATCAGCGCACCTACTCTTCTCCGATTTGTAGTTCCTCAGATGGCTCTGTGTAGAACGATCCGTGGCCTCAGCAGCAGCATTCGCCAAATCAGAGTCTCTCACCGCGACACGACACTGCTCCTCGTAGAAACTAACCAAACGGTTGGTCTGACTCATCCCCTGCAGAAAAAAAATTCTTATAAACTATACGTGATGAAAGCAAGTAACTTAAAAACCGAAGCAAGACACAAACCTGAAAAGAGCGACAAGCTCAATCCTCGTAAAGCTCCCTTCCACGGAGAGAGTCAACAGCGGGAAATTATGCAAAGTCTCCACGAACCTTGCTAGCAAGATCAGCACACGCAACTCCATGAGTGAAAAACATCTGATCCTTCCGGCTATAGTTGAAGGAGAATGAATGGTCAACTCCTTCGGCGATCTCACGAATGGGCTCCCCACGCCTAGCTTCTCGGCGAACGCTCGAACCTCCAACAGGACTTCCGCGCGAGCTCCTATTCCGAGACGTATATCCTCGACCGGACGATGGCGGAGCGCTGCCACTAGAGGATCTCGAAACCTTCTTCCCATCGCGTGCCGCCCTCACTTCCTCGGATCTGTCCCGGCGCGAGGCGTCACAATCGTCAGTAGGCGCGGCAGCATCCGTGGTCTCCACCACCACGTCCGCGTCAGCAACCGGAGCGTCATTCTCAAAATTGCGGCTCATCGACGAGCCAAGCTCAATTTGCGGCTCATCGTTGGGTAACATCAACGAGCCAAGCTTGATTTGCAGCTCATCGACCTGCGTGCCATCTCCGTCGAAGTGATCGACATAACTAGGAATCTCGCAATCACCCATCCTGAGGCAAGATCGAGAGCATGCAACATGTTACGTGTAAGAAACAAAATATAAACAAGAATCAACATACGAATAAACAAAACAAGGATAAGAAAATTACAAGTACTGAAGTGAGCAAGAGTATCCGGCCACCACAAGGTCCCCCTCGCCTTTACAACTTCTAATCTCTCTAAAAAGCTCTCGGTTTTCTCCACCGTCGGTCTGAATCTACCTGCAAAAATCAGCATGGAAACATCAGTTAGAGAAATAAAAGAAGATTCGATCACACGATCCCAGACCAACTAAGAACTACCGCGATTCGCATTCCACGTTCTAGCATACGGTAAACTGAGATCTTCGACGGAAAGCTCGGTTAGTTTCACAAAAAACTAATACTTGCGCCACGCGCGAACTTTGCTTGGAGCACCGTCGGCAATTTTGAAACTCGGTCTCGAACATGCCCGAATTCTCTTTCCCAAACGAATACTTGGTAACCTCCTTGAAAAGATCCAAGTCCACAACAACACCGGCCGCAGCTGCAAGGATTGCAAGACCCACCGCGTTCCGAATAAAAGCCACGGTGAGTTGAGAAAATGCTATCTCCTGACGAGCACAGTAACTCACGAGAAACTGTGGAAGGGGAAACCAAAGTCCGCAATCTAAGAAAAAATCTTCGTAAAGGCAAATATACCCTTCCGGAGCATCCCACGGGCGACGACGCGATTTTGGGAGCAGAATCTCTATCCCCGGTTCTATCCCGCACGCCTCGAACATGTCAAACACGGATTATTCTGTGCTAATAGATTTCCCTCTATCTCGAGGATCGAGAGCATTGGCCATGCCATCACCCAACGCAGGCTCCACTCTCCCTTCTTCGGGGACCGCACTAGAATCCCTCAAACCCGAAACTAGAGACCGTCGAGGATTTGTTAAACTCGGACCAACAATATCTTCAAGCACCTTTCTGCGGCGATTACTTAGCTCCCTAGGAACTAGCCTACCCCCATTGTTTCTCGAAGGAAGCAATCCGTCAAGATTGCGCACATCTTCCTCCGTCAAGTCTCCTTGGAACCACTGAAACCACGCCAAGCAGCGTGAGTCCCACCATAATCATCCGCAAACCCACACTCAAGTAGACGATAATCATCTCTTTGAAGCTCGTCCGGAACGCCATCAAACGGGTCATTGCCACCGACGTGATCCTCCGCGAACTGAGACATGAGAACTTTGCAAAAGTAACCAAGGACTTGATCAAAATCTAGAAGCCGAGAAGTGTCTCAAAACTTTTGCATTCCACCAATAATCTCAAGATTTGTGTCTCGTTCTCAACACTCCAAGTACGCAATTCAAATTTGAGGAACCCGGATTTGACGAACTATTGAAAATGGCCTATTGGCCGCGGCGGGAGATGTGACGAGACGAGCCCAAGAACCTCGTCACGATCGTATCTCGGCAATGAAAGCTCCGGCATGGCCGCCACATCACCTCGCCTCGACACGACGACATAAATCTCCCCATGGCGAGGTTTGGGCGCGGCAAGAGATGAGACGAGACGACTCCGGAAACACGACGAAATGCCGGCTCGGCATCACCACCTCGCCACGACACCTCCTTGTCTCGGAAGAAACCCATCTCGACTTCACTCTCCTCGTCTCGGCCATCGCTCGCCTCGGCGACCATGTCTCACAACACCTCAACCCGACATTACCATAACTCCACTCGAACGTTGCGTCACGACCGGAACGGCCACACTTCACCTCAGCAGCAAAACCCGCCACGGCTTTAGCTCCCCGCGGCTCCTCGAACTTTGTGCGGCAAAAACTCACCGCCTCGGCCGTAACTCACACAAGCCCGATGCAACATTGTCTCGTTGAAGTCAGCACCCTCACGCCTCCGCCGCAGCCGGGATTCCACCGTAACACCTTCTCTCCAAAACGAGGAATCAAGCAACGCCACTTCACCTCCCGTCGCAACAAGAACTTCTCGCGCCCACCAGTCTCGGTCGAAGCTCGTCTCAGCGCCGGCTATCTCCGCCACGGCAACCTCGTCTCGACTGAAGCTCGCCCGAGCGACCTCGTCTCGGCACGGCAGCTCGATCGTGACAAACAACTAAGGCGCCGAAGTCTCGAGACAACACCGCCGAGATCGGAACCATCATGGCACCACCGTGCTCCTGCCGGCCTCGGGATGATAACAAGACCGCGGATCTGATGAGAATCTTCCGGCGCGGCGAAGACAAACCGAGCTCGGCTAAGCAACTTGAATGTTGTGAGTTTGAAGCCTTAAAACCGAGATAAAACAAGGGGCGGATCCGAAGAAGACCTTGTAGGAGAAAAATCGAAGCAAGCCGAGAAGAGCTATTGTTGTTGTTGACTTGATTCGAAAAGAGAAAGAGCTTCTATGTTGACAAGGGGAGAAGATTCGAAGAAAGAGAGAAGTTCCAAGCTAAAGTCACGACAAATTAAAGGAGAGAGAGAAGAGAGAAAGAAGAGAGGTTTTACCTTTTACCAAATGAGGAGGAAGTCAAAGAGTTAAAAATGGAGGAGGAGACATATATATAGTGGGGGACCACACGCGTTTACCGAGGTAAAATGGTAAAACCTAATTCTTGCTTCACGCCTAGCTCTCGTGCCTCGTAAAGCGTGCCCGAGTAACGATTCATCCCGAGAATGATCCGCTCTTCTCAGAAAACATGCCAAGTCACTATTCATCCCGAGAATGATCCGTTCTTCTCGGAAAACGTGCCAAGTCACTATTCATCCCGAGAATGATCCGCTTTTCTCGGAAAACATGCCAAGTCACTATTCATCCCGAGAATGATCCGCTCTTCTCGGAAAATGTGCCGAGTCACTATTCATCCCGAGAATGATCCGCTCTTCTCGAAAAACGTGCCTAACCACTACTCGAACCCGGAATGACCAGCTCTTCTCGAGAAACGCGCCAAAGCATCACAAGAAGGTTTAAAGCCCTAAGTATGCAGCAAGGCAATTCAAAGTTTCCGCAAACTTGCCCATCTTGTTTTACGACCAACTAACCTACGCTCGGAAACAGCCCGCCAAGCTCAAGAAGACTCTCGCAAACCGGACTAAGGGGGGACTATTGTTGGATATGGGCCTTTGCCCTCTCCAAATATTAGAAGGCCCTTAAACAAGATGTGCAGTTAAAACAAGCCTTTCTCCCAAAATAGGCCCAACACCTTCGTAGGGGTAAATTCGTCATTCGTCAAGGAGACACAAAAACTCATAGGTTTCTGTGCCACTATAAATACATTAATCCACTGTTTGGAACAGGGATCGGTCCAGAGGTTATTATCCACCAAATAGAGAATTGTGCCACGCCCAAACTCGCTCTAGCCCGAGATTCCCGCCGCGTCTCTCTTTCTCGTGCTTTTACTCTTCTGTTTCATATTAAGTTCTCAGCTCGGCAGATAGTCTATAACTGCCGCAGCGAGACTTCTCTCTTTGTAACCTCGGGTTTTCCGCAAAAGCTAATAAAGAAAATTGTTTTGTATCGTCCCCAAAATCTCGTATCATTATTGTAGCTGCTCCCCCCCTTGCACAAACATATATTAATAAAGAAAGAGATCCAATTTTCATACTCTATATATTTAAAATTTGAAGAACAAAATACCGATTTTTTTACAATATTGTTGATGTTGGTTTCTATTTTTTTAATTTAAAAATACACATTTACAACTCTTTTTAAGAATGTATTATATATAATAATTTGATTTAACTATTTTACAAAAACATACAAATTAAACTCTAACATATTAAAAATATTCTAATATGTTTACTAATTTGCTAATTTTACCTACAATTCATAAATCATAACTGAAATGTTCATATACTTCTCGGCAGAAAAAATGACTTAAATTTTTTAGAAGTTAAACTAGAATTAGAAAGATAAAAATAAAACTGAAAGGATAGAGGTTATTTAAAATAATAAAAGGAAAAGAGAAAATGCATCCAATCTATACTATATAAAAACTGAGGCTATAAGCTTTTGAGAGCGTTCACATAGGATTTCAAACGACCAATCGGGATTAGACATCTCAATATTAGTCAAAGGATTGCTGACCTTCTGGGAAATGGTTGTCGGAACTGTGTGAGTGAGGCCAAAACACAGGGAAAGATCATGTGGTGATTTGTAGGGTCGGTAAACAAGTTTTTAAGCCTCCCGGACGTAGCAAACCGATCGTCGGGTATTGATGGGCTCATGGGCCTAGTGAGAGGACATGAGGCCGATTAAGAGAGGTGGGCCCATTGGCTGGTGGTGAAAATGGGGCCCACTGGAGATATGGCGGTCGGGGCGTTATAAAAAAAATATGAAACAAAAGGAAGAATGATTTGTAAATGGTTCTTTAGCTAGTTGGTCTGCAGCTGTGTTATTTTTTCTTCTTTTCCAAAGAAATTCCATTGATTCAAATTTAGAAGTCCAACCTTTAACTTCTCATATCCAGTTTGTGAACATTGACGTTGAGACCTTCTCCTTTAACCAGTTTGCTATCCAACACATCATCTCCTTTAGAAAGAACCTTTTTGTAACCTTTTATCCACATTTGCTACATTGATATAACAAGACTATGAAGTTCTGCTTGCAATATTGTTAAATACTTTGCACCAATGCTCTAACCTGTAGTTAGAAAAAAGCCTTTTGCATCTCGAGCAATCCAAGATGAGTAAGAACCTCGATCATCATGATGAAATTTACAATCATAGTTACATTTCATATACCCTTCTCTCGGTTTTTGTCCACTAAGAAACTGTAACGCCCGTGTCTGGAAATCCGGGTGGTGTCGATCGACACTGTTGTCGGGTGTCGATCGACACTAGTAATTTTGGTTTGACGGCTTAAGTTTTTAAATCGTCGGTTCAATGGAGGCTTGGTTTGGGTTGGTTAACCCTAGGTCGTGCTTAAAAGAGGGAAGGTCGTGTGTTGTCTCTTCCCAGCCGCTTTTTAACACTTCCAGAGATAGAAAAAAAAAAAGGTTCTAGAGCTTCTGAGGGTTTTTATGAGTCTTTGGTGGTGCTTGGTGGTGTTCTTGGTGGTTTAAGGCTAGTAGAGGCTAGATCAGTGTTGTGTGGTGTTAGAGGAGACAGATCCTTCCTTGTTCTTCCTTGTTTTCGTTGTTGTTCTTCTTGTTTAAAGAGGTGAGTGCATGACCAGGCTTATCTAAGCATGTTTGATCATTGTTTTTAGGGTTTTGATGATTGTTTGATTGATTTCCTTTGCTTGTTTGGCTGTTTATTTGATGATTGATGCCTGTGGAATCCTTTGGAGACTCGTTCTTATCGTGGTGGTCTTTTGGAGAAGAGATCCAGTGAGAAACGCAGTTGGAGCGTCTGCAGAGAGTCGGTGTCGATCGACACCAAGGGTGGGTGTCGGGTCGACACCAACGTTTCATCGCGCGAGGATAACTGCGTCTTACGATTGGAGTGTCGAGACCGGTGTCGTCCGCGAGGGTCGACAGCGAGTGTCGATCGACACTAGTGGAGGGTGTCGATCGACACCGATAGTCAGAAGCGATTCTGGTCTATCTTTTATTGGTTGTTTGGTTCTTTTCCTTGGATAATGGTTGAATGTGCTTGTGTGTATAGCCAGTGGTGGTATGATTGACTCACTAAGTATTTATGAAATACTTATGCATCTTCTTCTTTGATGCAGATAAAAGCAAAGTGTGATCCGTGGAATCATGGCGAGGAGAGGAGGATGATCTAGGCGCTCATTGGTGTTTAGATGATTGTAGGATTTGTTAGGATGGTAGAATGGAA